TATTTTTGTGAAGGTACTTCATTGATAACTTAGGGACTCGCCATAGGGATCCATATGATGGGAGTTCGTTCAGATTATTGCTAGAGTGAGTGCTCCTCATCCACCAGCTTATCCTGTCCTCCCTGCTCCACTGTCCAGGAAGAAACCAACGAGAGAAAGACCTCCAACATGAACAACGAGGTAATATGATTATCGTAAAACTCTCTCTCTCATGTTAGATTAAGATAGACCAGAGAATAGAGATAGGAAATATCTCAATCCTCTATGTTCATCGGTATTACTAATATTAGACTTAGGTTAGACTTATGTTTTATGTTTTGTTGTTATATTATTAGTATTTGTTATTTTGTTCTGCTATAATTAAATTGTTGATTTTATATTATATAACCTTCGTAGTCTGGTATTTGTTACTTATGCACAACCCACACAGAATCTTACCACTCGGGTTCTGATTAAAAATTAAGCCATCCGGTGACAAGGTGAGCAGGTCTAACAGATCTGACGATTAGAGGGCCTGGACCCTCGTCCGTATTCTCACACTAGAAAACGTTATTTTTCCATATTTTTCCATGAAAGAATATTTTATGACTAAATTTTGACATTATTATTAAATTATTTAAAATAAAACGGGGGCTATTCGGATCTCACTGACTTTATCGAATATTTTAATATATTTTGATTAAGTGGAATTTAAGTTAACTATAAAACTCTTACACATTTCATATAAAAAATAATGCTTAGATTTTTATATCATATGAAAAGAAAATTCTTGCATATTTTGAAACCGTGTCTTATTTTATCTGTTTGTTTTTACTGTCACAACTAGATGCGTAGACAGTAAAAACACACAGAAAATTCTATACTTTTTTCCAATAGTTAATAAAAAGATGGAAGGATTTCATTGTATCGTTCACCGGATTCACTTCCTATAAAAAGTGACACCAGAAACTTACAACCGAAATTCATCTATTGGCCACGTCTTATAACATTACCAAAAAAGGGCAATAGAAAAAACAAGGACCATAAAAAAAGAGGAGACCGCTGACGATCGACGTCGTGGAAAGTTCGCCCTCTTTAGAGTTCGTTTCAGATCTCGGTTACCTTACCACATCGAAGATTGCCATCTACTCATGCCCTATTGACCTTCCCTCCATCCGACAACGCTCTTCTTACCCGAACAATCCCATTACCTATTACCAAGGGCTCTCAACCGGTAGCTTCCGAATCATCGATTCGTTGAATCTTCGAAACGATCGACAACGAAAGAACGGTCTCAACGATATCTACAAGGTATTTATCTACCAGCGAATCTACGTAAAGTCTCTCTCTCGGGATTAGGACTCGCGAAGATAGTTACAATAGCCCTCAGTTATGATATACAAAAATGATAGCCAATAGTTATAATGCACAAATCCCTAACAAATCCAAAGTAATATGTATGATTCCTCCTTATAAATAGTTTTTTGTAAATAAACGGGTAATTATATTTATATTGATCGATGACTGTGTGCGCTTCTTTAAGACTCGCCGTCTCTCGAACCGTCTTCATCCAGATCCGAATGCCTACAAACGTGACCTCCCTTTTGTATCGTGATTTCTCTGTCCGTAGAGACACGGTGGTGTCATCCTGACGTGGCACGTGACCTAGTGCCGACCACGCGGTCACACAAAGAATTTAGGTAATAAGTATAAATTTTCAAATGTTAATTTACACTGTATTATTTTTGTTTTGTTTGTTTTATAAGATAAAACAAAACAAAGGAAAAAAAAAATTCAATGGTTCCGAGAGTGAGAGAAATTATACTTTTCTATATTTGTTATTATATCTGGTTTGAAAGTCGCACAATAAAAATTAATATGAAGTGTTTTTATATAGAATATTTCAAAGATTTCGCTTTAAAATTATTGAATGCCAGAACAGTTTTCTAGGAGAATGTGTGGCTTCGTTGAGAAACAGCTTAAACGTTCCGGCACGTTTGTAGCACATAATGTTTATAGATTTTATTAAACTGGTATTTTAGATGGGAAAATATCTCTAGTGTTTTTCTGGCGATGCATAGTAATGCGTATTTTAATTCTTCCATAATTCTGTTAGGTTAATCCTATAATTAATTAATGAATATTTCTATATTTGTAATAAATCCAGGACACGAGCCGATTTTTAATTTAATACTCTTCGATTTAATGTATAAAAGTAGACTCAGCGGTATGATTTTGTTGTCTTCCGAAGCTACGAATGAAGTTTATACTCTTCGTTGCAGCGGAATCGTCTCCTTCGATTTTATACAGCGACGATCTTTATCTAATACCAGCGGATGTGCCCGGCGTTGCCGGGGCAAAAAACAACAACAACGATTAAGATTATTAGATTATTTCGTACTTCTAATCCTTCTATTCTAGTAGCCCGGGACGTCCCTAGTGGGCGTTCTAGCAGCAGCGTAGTCATTCCGTGGTATAATTAATAAATTCTTATTACAAATAAAAACAATAATATACTGAATTTATTGTTAATTTAAACAAGGTCGGGACACGCTCCCGTGATTCTATGCGGCAGCGGCCATTTTGGGACTTATCGATAGACTACGCTCCACACGTAGCTCCCGCGTGAGTCGACTATTATTACGTATATAAGTATTCAAATTTTTAAACAATGGGTTATTGCGTGGTACCAAATTGTAAAAGTAAATTTACAGACGTTCGATTGTTTAGATTTCCCGCAAATAAGCGGAGGAAAGCAAAATGTAGCGTAGACATCAACGGGTGGTTCGCTATGCAGTTCAAAGAGTTTACGTGTAAAGTTTGTAACAAGTGGTTTAAACGAGTGGATACTCTTCGTGTCTACGAACGAACTATTCATGGAAATTTATTGATGATATTGGCAATCCAGATATAAAACAAATTATATTTGTTTTATATCTGGATTGCCAATATCATTAATAAATTTTTTGGAACTTTTTTGTAAGCTATTTATAAATTAAAAATATATCTACGCATCTATTACGTATTATAAAATGAGCGTTACGTTGACAACATTTATCAATAATACTATCGAATTTCGTTTTAATTTTATAACCAATCTTGCTTTAAAAAATAATTATAAATTTGTTACATTATATTATTATATTCTTTATTTTAGTTTAAATTNTGTACAGTAATACCTCGACTTACGCTACCCCGACTTAGGCGAACCCGGAGTTACGCGATTTTCAAATCTCGTCGATTCGTCTCTTGTTTGAGCGCCACGCAACTCTTGATTACTCACTCCCCCCACACTATTGTTCAGCTTACATGTTCGGACGTGTCGCGCGGAATCGACACGTCCGAATAGCTACAATTCATTTTGTGTTATTTATTTCTGTGTTTGTTATATCTAGGGAACTCTATGTGGTGATTTCTTGTAACCGTAAACGAATCAAAAGACGAGATAAGATTAACGAGAACATTCAACAGTTTACATACATCCGACTTGGATTTTACGCAAATTGGAAAATTATACCCCGACTTACGCGAATTCGACTTACGCGGTTATCGCTCGGTCCCACCTATCGCGTGAGTTCGCGGTATTACTGTACGATTCATTCGCGTTCATATACACAACTAATATCCAATAGAACTATTTTAAACAGATCGCTGCACTACCACCGAATTTTTCATTGCTTGTTCTGTGACAAAACTGAATTTTGGTCTTTTAAATTGAAATACCTAAATAAGGGGGTCCAACATTTTTCTCCGCCCCGGGCAGCTGACACCCACGGTATGCCACTGTACGTATATAAGTATTCAAACCTTTGAACAATGGGTTATTGCGTGGTACCAAATTGTAAAAGTAAATTTACAGACGTTCAATTGTTTAGATTTCCCGCAAATAAGCGGAGGAAAGCAAAATGTAGCGTAGACATCAACGGATGGTTCGCTATGCAGTTCAAAGAGTTTACGTGTAAAGTTTGTAACAAGTGGTTTAAACGAGTGGATACTCTTCGTGCCTACGAACGAACTATTCATGGAAATTTATTAATGATATTGGCAATCCAGATATAAAACAAATGTAATTTGTTTTATATCTGGATTGCCAATATCATCAATAAATTTCCATGAATAGTTCGTTCGTAGACACGAANGACAAATTAAAGTATCTGTTTCGATTATCCGGATTTTTCCTTATCCGGACTACCTTCATTCCCAATTAGTCCGGATAATCGAGGTTCTACTGTATAATCTATACTTCGGTGGGTTGACGTCATTCAGCTGACCAATCAGCGCTTTGTGCCATCTGGATATTTAGCCGCACGTTCTTATATAGACCTTGAATTTAAATAATAGCTAGTGGCGCTTCTAGTGGCCATTTTGGCATACAGTGACAGAACAAAAGAAAGAAAGAATCCAGTTATTTAGCTTTATATAGTTAGATAAAAAGGAGCCGGACAATCGAATCGATCAATCATTGACACTACACTTTTGCGTAGAAGTAGCTTCTTGCAGAAAATCTATTAGGAATGTCGTGTCGAATTCCTTACCAGAAAAATCCGGAATCTCAAAGTGAAAAATTTTTGGACCTGTCGAGTGCCGTATTTCCAATCGCCACGAGGTCCTCCAAGTGTACATTTAAGCGCTCAATGTTCGTTTATAGAAATGTTTATCGTTGTTAATTTTTTTCTAATTATTTTTATTTCTTCCTCTATTTATTTTTCTTTTGTTTCGAAAACACAATAATAATCGATTATAAATAATACTAATAAATAAATATTCATAGGTGTATTATATACAACAAATACAACAATACTTTTTATGCTGTACGCAATCGATCAGTAAATCCAGGCTTTCTAAATTTCTTTTGTAACAAGATTGTTTTAAAATAAGTTCGAGATCGAGAAATAATAGAGGCTTTCGCAACACTTGCGTTATTGTAGTCTTTGTCAATAGAACTGCACTCTGAAATATATCAGAATAGGTTATGTTACTCTTTACCGGCTTTTTACATTTTATTATTTATTATTACTTTCAAACATGAAGACCCACGTTCATTTTCTAATTTTCTTCGCCTCGATCTCCGTCTGGTTGATACAAAGTAGCGATGCGGTTAAAGCCGTAGAATGTTCGTGCTGCGGTAAGTTCGTCCGTGTAATATTGACTCGCTACCAGTCGTTTTGCATATTTTTAAAGTTTTTTATATTAATTTATAAATAATACAATTACATAAAAAATAATAATTAATCCCAATGAATTCTTAATATAACAATCGCTTCAGGAAAACCAAAAGGTAAGATTGTATCCACGGACATCGGCGGATGTAAGAACCAATCTTCATACGAATGCGAATTTAATTTCGGTGGTCCGCTGAAAGTTCGTATCAAATTTGAAGTTTGTAAGTATTGTTGTAATTGATATTTATAAACACGAGGTATAGTTGTTAATTGCGTTACGTCTTTCAGACAAAGAAATTTCGAATATCGATTATAAGTTAACGGCGGTTGAAGAAACTTCCTTGACTAGAAAGACTTTCGGTTATCCGAACAAAAATATCGGATCCGAATCTGGAATACCTTCTCCTCTTAAACCGGGAGAGATTTATCAATTTCAACGAACCTTTTGGCTTAATGATTCCAGATTTACCGTAAGTATCTTAGAATTATTGTTTTCGTCATTTAAAGAAGTTTTACATCAGGTTTAATTATACATTTGTATATTTTCTTTCATCAGAAAAGTTCTGTCAAACGTTTGAACTTGGAAATTTTAGACAGAGGAGACGGGAATACAGTTGTATGTATAGAAATACCTGGCAGAATGATGGAACAAAACAAAAAATAATAAAATGAGTTCGTAATTGGACTATCGTTGCTTATATTTTTGCTTGTCACCGTTACTTCGACAATATCGAAAATTTCGTTAAGAAAATAATGTTTTAAAATTAAATAATTTATATTGTAAACTGCGTTAAATGTACAATTCCTATTTTCGTACTTAAAAAAGAGAATCGGAAATAGAAATTTTCGCGTACTTTTAGGAAAGTAACTTGATTTTAATAAATATATATTTATTCGAACGTATTCGATGTTAAAATTTCAATAAATCTGCGACACGATGAGTTTCCATTTTCGTTCTTGTATTGTTTAATTTTCTGCAATTCTTGAAGATTTGCGTGTTTTGTGGCTAACCGGATGATCGTGATTAATGTACAAAGCATATCCCTATCAAAGCGTGTTTAAATAGATATTTAGCATCGCAAATGCAGCCAAATTTAATTTGCTCGAAACGTTGGAAAATGTAATGTATACTGTAATCTGTTTTGAAATTTTTTGTTTGCAAAATGAGTTACGGTAAATATTTTCCTAAAATTTTATTTAATGTGTAAAATATGTTACACGCACTTTCAAGCTATAGCGCCTGCAGCATAATTCAAAATTATTGTTAGCTAAAACCCATGGTGTTATGGGTGAATTTTTTCCGGAATCCAGTTATATCTGTAGAACACGTCATTGTTTGATTTAAAAGTTTTGTTTAAAAAATCGCTATAGAGTATTTTAAAATGTGGATTATATATTCTCAAACACCTATTACTATAAATGTATAAATAGATATTCTGACTAAAATGAAAAAAATATATGAAAAGTTGCTTCGTGTGGTTCCGTTTGCAATTCCAATTTAGGTAGCACGCTTGTCAATATTAGATACAAATTTTACTATAGTTACTACATTGCTCGATGTTTCAATTTGACAGACAAGTACTTCAGTTACAACAGTGTGAGACTAATCGGGGGTAGGACGTTTACGAGTTTTTGACTCTCCTATCTCTTAATCGACTCGAGACCTCGAGGTCCGGTCTCGCTTGTCTAAAGGATGGGTTCTTTTGAGCGGAAGGGTTTTAAAGTTAAGGATCGTTAGATCCTTATTTCACGTCAGGATCTGACAGCAATCTATCAATTTCTTAGCGGATAAATACGCGTTAGATTGAGGATCAAAATTATCACGAGCGATCTCATGGAGGACTTTGGGTTCAGTATTGAGGTGATAATGCCGGAAGAAACGCGCACCAATCCAAGTTCATTAACAATATACCCATTTATTGTTGAGCATTTTTACATAGATAATTAATTAGGGAATCGAGGTTACAGTTCCCTCTCGGGATTTTCAATCCGTATAATTCATAAGTTTCGGGGTTGATAGCGGACAAAATACAGTAGAGCCTCGATTATCCGACCCCCGATTATCCGACATCTCGGTTAACCGACCGTCCTAGTCGGCAAATTTCAAATGTCCGCTAGTGNGGATGGGTTCTTTTGAGCGGAAGGGTTTTAAAGTTAAGGATCGTTAGATCCTTATTTCACGTCAGGATCTGACACCAATCTATCAATTTCTTAGCGGATAAATACGCGTTAGATTGAGGATCAAAATTACCACGAGCGATCTCGTGGAGGACTTTGGGTTCAGTATGGAGGTGATAATGCCGGAAGAAACGCGCACCAATCCAAGTTCATTAACAATATACCCATTTATTGTTGAGCGTTTTTACATAGATAATTAATTAGGGAATCGGGGTTACAGTTCCCTCTCGGGATTTTCAATCCGTATAATTCATAAATTTCGGTTGGAATAACGGACAAAATATATATTAGTCGCTACCTTAAACGCGAGTTGGAAATATTCGAGAGAGAGCTTACATATCATCGCGAGTAGAATAAATAACTCTAGTTATAAACATTGATGTCTATGTTGATGTCTAGTTGATCCAAATTCTCGTTCTTTCCAGGTTCATAATTCAGTCCAAAGTCGTAGTCAAAGTTCAAAATCGTAATCAAAGTCAAAATCGTAAAGTCTATCGAAGACAGTGGCAACGAGAGGCAGGTAATCCACACACACACACAGTGTAGAAAAATAACTTTCCCCCTCTGTGTCGTCATCGCACTTGCCTTTTATATAGGGGCTCTCTTCTCGAGATTTCCCCATGTACGTCACAGGTGATGATCTCCCTTGACCAATGGTGGGCGAAGTGACAAAGTTATGACACAACAGGGAAGTATTTTCGTGGGAACGGAGTTTTATGATAGATTTTTATGAGAAAATTTGTCGGTTGTTTTTCTCTTTTTGAGTTATCCCTAACGTTTATTAAAATCGTTTTGGTTTTGAAACAAAACGGTAGATAACAATGAATAAAAATAATCGAATCGCCTTGACTATTTACTAGTTTGTTTTTGAATAGTTAGTAGTTATCTGTTTTCTCTGTGTTTGTTACTACTGTATTCATAATAACAAATAGAATTTAATCAAATTTTTCATAAAATTACACTCGAGTAAAGTTAAGTTACGTGACAAAGAAATTGATTCACTTGTACTTTACAAAAATATTAAACGAAAGGAAACTATAATTGATTACCGTTGTGATATTTTAATAGATATAATTCAGAAAGAATATTCACATTAAAAAAACACAGCCACTAACGTTCTGTTTGAGAAAATAAATACAGTCGAACACACGAAATAATTAGAANCCCTAACTTTTATAAAATCGTTTTGGTTTTGAAACAAAACGGTAGATGAAAATGAATAAAAATATTCGAATCTCAGCCTTCTTAAATCCGGGCCCTCACAACAGCATACTTTTGTTCACTTTAATTTTTCAAGAAATTAGTGTCAAAATTAGCGAATGTGGCACTTTTTGCGCTGCAAGCGACGAACTAGAGGTCGTATAAACCCAGAGATAGGGAAATTGCATTACAGTTCGCATCCGATTAAATGGCCTCCCTAGTTCATTAAACTGTATAAGGGCGATATGGTAGACAGACAATCCACTCTTTTGGAAGGTAGTCAAGAGTTTTGGTTTGCTTTGGTTTCGATCTGGAAAACTGAATTCAATTCTACAAAGAGGTAAAACGAAGCTAAAAATATCACGTTAAGTGTAATAAAGTTGCTGGATAATAAAGCTAAAACTAAATTCAAAGTTGTCAAGCAGCAAAACCATCAGCTGAGAATATTAGACAAATCGGAAAGAACTATTACAAGTGTGACAGCAGAAATTCCTATCTTAGATCTAGTCTTTAATAGTAACATTGCGCGAGTTACGCAACGATTGTTGGTCTTAGCTACCTGAGAAAGTCTCCCGTTACATTTTCTCGAAAGCAACATGACGCTTTCTCGAGAACTATTAGTTAACCTCTGCACGGCCGAAATCGTCCGTGAATATCACCAAAGACAGCCGAAAAGAGTTAGTCGCCGTTTTAGTCCTCGGAGAGGAAAGAAGTCGTCGTCCATTTAATCGTCACCCATTTAATAGTCGCCCATAGGATAACCTTTTTTGTGTGTGTGTTACTGCACGATCGAACCTGGATAAGGGACATTTTGACTGGATATTTCACCTCTGGATACATCCTGTAAAAGCCCACAAGCTCTCCGATTCAACACGACCCGACCGGGATATCAATTACCAAAGGTATTTATCACCACGCGAACCGTATGTGAACTCTCTCTCTCCGCGACAACATTTTATCCGATTTATTTTTAAATAAACCCTTGTTAATTGTTAAGTGTTAATTGTAGTTCGAGTCACTTCCCTTACGTTGTCTCTCCATCGGTTAACCTTACGAATCCGTCTGACCACGTACGGGACCGCTCGCGCGACGGTGTGACGTAATCGCCGTCTCGGCTTCCGTGTTCCGTTAAACACGGTGGTGTCAATCCCGACAGGGCACTAAGGAGGTGCCGACCCGAAAGGTCACATAAGGATAAAGTCGGAAGGAAGATACAATTATTGTAGCATCGGATAAGAAAGAAACAGTCCTTTCTATAGAAATGTTTTATTAATCACTGGACTATGTTTTATTATTAACAAACTAGTCTACCAACATTCCTTTTATTGTTAGGAAATAAATAAAGCAGTAATATAAATATTTATCGTGCAGAAACATTAACAAAAATACGACCAATTTGAGTTTAAATATAACTCATTTTTCACTCAAACTACTTTAGCAAGTTTTTAATGTATAAACTAGCAATTTTTTAAATTTGCACGCTGTGAATATTCACTTATAACATTTTCTAAGTTATCAGAACAAATGGGGCCATAATGTCAAGCGAAAAAATAGCCTGTAGAAATCTACGTATTTACGACCTCTAAGAAAAAGCACTTTCATTAGTCGTGTCACTTAAAAAATATAATTTATCGAGGACATGTTGAAAATTTGGTAGTTTCGACAGTATCGCGCTGTAAATGAAAAGTATCAAAGAATTAATTGCAATCGTTCATTGAAATCCCGCTTATCACGTTTAGAATGGGTTCCAAATAAAGCAATATCCCTAATCCTTGCATCCGTAAGGATTCTGTAAAGCATCGGTATTTTATACATATAGGACTAAATTGTTTGTTGCATGCAGCGCCAATAGTGGCAAAGTTTGGTACTAATTTTTATAAGGAGTGTACCAAATGTGGATGCATTTAAAGTATTAAATATTGTTAGACAGAGCAGTACGGGAGTATTTAACTTACAATCACCCAGAATACATTTACAGAACAAATGGAGTGAGTGGTAATATCTTAATTAATATGGAAAAACTTCAGTTCCAGACCCAGAAGAGGTATACGAATATACAAAATACAATACCAATGCCATATCTCTCCTTAAATACGATATAATTCTCATTGCTAGATCAAGAAGCCATTAAAAAGATATAAATTGGCAAAAGCAGTGGGCAATGCAAAATATTTGTAGAGGCGTGGAATATTATGGATTTGAAACTGTTCGGTGAAATTTTACCAGCAGCGGAAAATGTTAAAGGTGTAGATGAAAGACACGGATATCTCCATCTATAAGTAATAAATGACTTATGAACCTGCAGAAATTTCCAGGTAATCAACCTGGTAAGTTATACCACGAATATATGGAAATGATTTGTAACCAGAAAATTTTATTGTTATAAGCGTAAAGCAATACACCAACCAAAGCCATTCGGCTTTGGTTGGTGTATTGCTTTAATGTATTACGTTTGTAATAAGCATATCCAAGAATCAGTTCGACTTCTTTACGGGAAGATGCCATGAAAAGTATCGTCAGTTCGAGAAAGCTTTCAAAAGATATAAGAAGAAAAAGAAACGACTATTTGTTGTTTGTGGCGTATATCAGAAAAGGTCTTATATCTACTGTATAGACACGCTGTTTTACAGTAATCGAGGATATATATGACATACAGTAACAATGATGTCTACAAAGCAGAACAGGTAAAGAGATAGAGCAATTCTTGGTTAAGTCAGGCGGATGCATTTTTTCTGTATTTCTGATTTACAGCTTTTTTTTACGCCATAAATTGGCACTAAGTATGTGAGATTTTGAATATTTAAAATCAAAAAATAATAATAACACTTTAGTTTTAAATGCTTAAAGTCTGAAAGGTTTAAGATTCAATATTCACCTGCCACCCGGCTAATTAGAAACATTCGCTTCCAAAAGAGTTCCTGGGAAATAAGTATTTTTCAGCATTTTCTTCCTCCTCCAAACTGGGAAATCTAAAATCTTGTCGAAGAAAGGAATGTTGAAATCTTCTCATATTAGCTGTAGGCAGCGTTGCCAGGTCTGAAACTTCGTCCCATTTTTAGGATTTTATCGAAATATCACGGAGTAAGAGATAATTAAAAAGAGTATTATCTATTATTTATTTCCGTTTCGAAGATTAAATTTCAATTTTCCGTTCAATTGCTAATTACCTACTGTGTATTGTGAGGCTGGAATAAGACACGAATCTGACAAACTGGAATTTTAAGAGTATCAAATCGAAAAAACGGGCTTTCACCCTAAGATCATACAGGTGACAAAATAGCAACGAGATGGAGACGATAGGAAATATCTTGTTTAATAAAAATGTGGCGTGAAGAAATAACACGTAGTCTTCAGATTCATTCTGTAATCGACTATTTATGTATAAATAAACGGGTTTACCTATAAACACATCCAGTCTCTGAACTCGTGGAACCCCTCTACTGTGTTAGAAATATAGAATAAGTTATACATAGTCAACAAAATAATAGTGTTAATTTCATTCCGAAACTAATTATTAAGAAAAAGTTAAGACGTGATCAATGCCTAGCTAATATAACAAAAATCATAAACGGCAGAAAAATTATTTTGCAATTTTCTTTTAGGGCAAATTTCTGGAAATGGGGTATTTCTGCTCAATTTTGAGACTTTTCGTATGACGCTTTGAAACCGAGATAAAAAGGTCTCTGAAACATAGCTGTGACTTGTGTGTGATTTATAGACTTTCGAGAGAGGGAATGATTGCTCGGTTTATCGGAGTAAGACTCGCAATATTAGGGATGGATGGCACAGATAACCTTGTACAGTAATACCTCGATTTAACGGACTAATTCCTCATTTTTTCGGCTACTGTTTCATTTCGAATGGCTGTGGCCACCTCGCTCGCCGATGTAATTCCGCCTAATTATTTTTATCGGATTATCTGAAAGAGTGAGTTTACGTAAACCAATCACTAAGCTTAGACGCTTTGAAAGTAAACATCACCGAAGGAATTCGGGCATTTTCAGAGGACTTACTGGCAACTACGCTCCGAAATATGTTGCGGTTTCAAGATTGTCTGGATGCAAATGGTGGCCATTTCCAGCATACGTTATGATGTCACCATATTTCTCACAAAATGAGGTGAGTCCGCTTCTAATTTTGTTGTAATATCATTAGTGTCAAAAGTTTTAAAGAAATGCCGGGTAGAGTGTGATATCCTGTATAATAAAGTAGCTTTTCTAATGCGTGTATTAAAATTCGACACATTACTTACTTTATGTGATTTTACTTATATAGATATGTTGGTGAAATTGAAATTAACTATTTACGAGAAGTTTATTTCACATAAAAGTTTTCTATATGTATTATTGCTTAAATTAAGTAATCGCCGTATTATACGATGATAGACTTGTACTAGGCTGTAATAAACTAGTAAATGATCTAAGTTAAAATAAATAAACAAACATTTTTCTGAAAATACACTTTAGAACATCGAATCGTCCTTTTTTCAAGCGACGATGTCAGTATTGTACTCGTAGGTATGACGAACAAACTAAGCTAAACTAGTAAAGGCAAAATAGAACTAGCATTTTATGTTTACTTTTCCCATGTACTGTACACTAATAATGATTCGAAGATCGACGATCGACGATTTCTATTTAATTCCATTAAAATATATGAACTTTGGACTGGACTCGTCGAGTTTTAGATGAAGTTTTCTGTTATTTTAATTATAAACATTCTCAAAGCTATAAAAAGGAAGACAAAACACAACTCTAATGCAAGATCTTCTAATGATACAAATAGAGAAAATACATATTGAAAGCGCAGAAAAGAAAAGAGAAAAATATTAAACTTTATGTGGCTTGTATGAAATTCCAGTTGTTTCAATAATATAATTGAAAACGATTTATATAATCGTATTATAATTATTAAAATATTAATTAATGGTTACAGTAATTACAATAATAAACATAATATAATATCAGATACTTTTCTGTATGGAATATAAAAGTAAAGGAAAAACAGTAACAAAGAACTGTTTCTTAGTGATGTATTTATTTTCTGTTTTTGTATTAAAGGTGGAGTTCGTACGTGGTCACGGTCTCGTAATTTTTCAACAATGCATATTAATGCATTCTTCTTACTCTTATCCCGTGTAATTATTCCAATGTTTCACGGAAAAAGTGATGAACGACGACGTAAACTATTTTCATTAAATATATATATATATTTATGTTAGGTCTATTTGTCACGTAGCCTAATAAGCGAGAGACATTGATTTGTCAGAAATTATATGCTTCTGCAAAATTTCTATGCGTCATTACATCACGACTATAGATCATGTTCTCTATTACAAATACGTTATTTTTAATATTTATGTTTTCTTTATCTCTTGTGTCTTTTAACTCCAGTAAAAATCTCATATCATAAGATGGCTAATTAGAAAAAATAATATTTTGATTCAAATTAAAATCTTATCCTAAATTCTCGTTTCGTTAATTATTATCAAATTAATTGTTACTCACACCAAATGACGTTTTGTCAATATCGACAAATCTTTTAAATTCGTAAGTAATTTCGGATTTAAGTGGAGAGGATACTCCTATTTCGGCTCCTATACACTCATCTACGAGCAGTTTTGGTTGTGCAGAAAGCAAACCTGGTTTTTCAATTTGTACAAACCGAAGGAAAACAACAAAAATTTCTTCATCTGTAAAAATGTAGAAAAATTACTGTTATGTAATAATATAGGAATATTTTAAATTAACAATGCTAGTTTAATTCTTATTACTGAACCTTGTTGATAAGGGTCAATAAAATTTTCTCTACAACTTATAATTTTCAGCGATAGATTCTTTACTTTTAAACAATTTGAAAACGTGGTCATTAGAAGTTTTTAATTTTGAAAACGTACTATAAATTATTAGCGGCTAAAATAAGTCATTTCTTCAAAAATTATAAATTTTACCATTTTTACCTACAGTTCTTATTTACCTGTTTGGAGATTGAAGCAAATACGAAGAAAATCAATATTGTTATACACTTGTATACGTTTCGGCGTCGAAAAAATTAAAACTTTTTAAAAAAATAAAAAAAAAACTGGATTTATAAACTCATATTTAAATGGTTGTTTTGCCAGGTAAAGTTTAAATAATTATTATGTAAATTGCGTGTTTATTATTGTGTCAGCATATTTATTTACAAATAATGAGGATTAGTAGGCACGTTTATTTTTTTATTATATGTTATATTTTATATAGTAAGATATGTTCTATAAATTACAAAAAAAAATTATGTTTATTTGTACAAATTATATAAAATCGTCGTCTATATTATTTTTTCAGAACAGACGTAACCACGTGTCGTAAAAAAATGATATATTCCCAATATACCACTCATTAAAATATGACATCATTTTACTTTATATATTTATAAGAAATATAAAAACAGTATGAGCTATTAAAAATAAATTTGCCAGGACGAATTCACAAATAGAAAATTTAGAAAAAATATATTTCCTTTTGGACTGTACATGTAACTGAGTCCATCTTCATCTGTCCTTTCACACGCTTTGTAGAGGCAATAACAAATTTATTTAACTTAATTAACTTATTTACATTGGACGGCGAACATGTAGCCTCAAATAAAAGGTCGGTATCGCCGTGAATTTGTTATTGCCTCTACAAAGCGTATGAAAGGACAGATGAAGATGGACTCAGTTACATGTATAGTCCAAAAGGAAATTTTATTTTTTCTAAATTTTCTATCTAAGTATGAGCTATTATTTATTGTGACATCGTCACAATTCTCTCAATTTTAGCGTCTCGCCCCTGTACATCATACTTTTCCTGTTAACAACGGAATCGTGCCGGTAGTCTATCTACCTTCTTTCGGGGGGGGGAATTTTTGAATTGAAATAACGTGACTTCCGGCTTGCGTCAGAAGTTCGTATATAGTTAACCGAGACTTCCTGCGCCTATCCTCTACATAACTGNAAATGAATAATAACCACAATGATCACCATTAAAAGAATGTTATATTATAATTGAATAAATTAAATTCTGCTATATACCATTAGATTTATAGTAAGATTATTATTTGTTAAAATGACTTAACGCCGTGTAACCTTTATTTAGAAATGGTTTAATAATTGGTGAAACAATCAAGAACTTTTTCTGCGTGTCTATTCCCCAATCTCACCGCACGTCACTAGTCTTATCACTTATCACGAGTTTTATTTACTGCCGTATTCTTTATCTTTCTTTTGATTAAATTAATAATATGCTAAATAAAACTTTTTTGGATTAATGCATAAAATATTTTTATACTAACTGCATGGTATTTAAGAATTAATATACAGGTAAAGGTAATAGTAACTTAATACAGATTTATTACATGTAAATACTCGTATATATAATACGTCTGTACATTATATTTACAAAGATAGAGATAAAATAAGTGATACAAAAGGTCAAGGGTTGCAAGAGTTCTAAGAGATATTTTTCTTGATACTAAAGTTCTTGCATGCAATTCAGAAACAATGAGGAAGTGAAGGTCTTATCAGAATTAAATGATAAAATTCATTATAAATAATAAACACTATAATATTCAATACAATACAATATGGTTTTCTGTCGCTGCTTTTTATATTATAAATGAATAACAATAATAATAAAATCTGTTCGTTTGAAGCTTCTGTAGATATCTTGTAATATATATAAATGTAAGATGTTCACCCTATATGTCATCGTAATTTTTCATATTTTTAATTTGTCAAAGGATCGAACAATAAACTTTATAAGCATGTTTACAGAGGGTTATCTTTTCTCTATGGTCATCTTTATTTCTTCTTTAGGACGAAGTATGACGTCTCCGGAAACCAGAACTTTTTCACGATGTTCTAAAGAATGCACTTTAAAATTACGTAAGACGTGGGCACAAACTGTCTTCATTACCATCATGGCGAAACGTTGGCCTGTATAACGGACAATATAATATTTATTCTCTTNTTGACTGAAAACTTTACTACGCAGTCGTAATTAAAGTAACACGCTTTTGCACAATCGTCTTTTCATCCAGTAAGCGAGAACGAATGAATTCGTCTTTTAGGGGCGTCTATAAAAAGCAACGTAAAAATATAAATAATATTTATTAAATATTCTATCGTAGATACGGAAGATTCTTTTAAACTTACAACATTATCTATAGTCGAAGCAGTTAACTGTTTGAAACAACAACACATAACAGAATCAACGGTGTTTCATAATCCATAGCTAATAACTTTTCATTTATAATATTAACAGTCTATAAATATATATACATAAAATCTCTCGCAAGACCTGTTTTTTTCCCTTCTTCACGATGAAATTTAAGTTGTGTAAATTTTTAAAAATCTTATTGCAAATCATGTGAGTATATAATATATATATAAATTATATGCTGTATAAAACTTCCTAAAATGAGAAAGTAGTTTTTACTCCAAAGACCTGACTTGTAATATTTAATTGTTTACTATTATGTAAACGTAAATATTATTTATTTATTTTAAAATTTTTTATTAATCTGCCGGCATCAAAAAATTTTGTTACGGAACAATCTGCCTGAGAAGAATACTTTGCTTTCCGCAAAGGAAATTTGTACTTAATAAAAGAATTTTTCGGAAGCAAACCAAAAGCCACGATTCTTACATAGCGAATTCTACTGAAACAGCTATGGCATCGTAAATTGTTAATTATCTCTTTCACCTCTGTTAAAAGCAAGATAGGAAAGAATACGAACCACAACGATCTAAACAATCTTATCACTGCACAAAGTATAAATCTGAAAAATAATAGTGTTTAACATGCAATATCAGCGAATGTCATCCGCATTTACCTTTTGATAAATAATGTTGTTGGTGAAGAAAGTTAGCTTATTTGTTTCGTATTAATTATAACTATATCATTAAGGAAGTGCCTCCAGAGAGGAAATCAAAGAAAACGAACCTATTCGGGGTGTTTGGCAGATGAAAAATTCGGAAATCTTCAAGGGATCAGTCGTTTGTCAGGTGTGAACCCACGACCAGCGTTTAGTATTCGCCGTTTTTATCTATTCGGCCGCAGCTATGCCCTGGCCAGAGACGATCTTAATAAAACGTATAGCTACGCCGACCTTTCATTACGTTCCACCATTTTTTCTTAAAAAATCTGATATTTTACGTAGTAAAAGTGAACACGGATAAACCTCATAAATTGTTTATACACAGGCTTCTGGTGCTTACGTGTCTCTGAAACAAGAGTAAATTTTTATTAAAGACGACAGACTCGCTTACAGGCAATCTACCAATAGGAATGCCTCTTAAGAAGACTTTCTACGGAAAACTGACCTATACTTAGAATTATCAACGAGAAGAACACCCAGCCAGTTTATGAAGCGTGAACCCGCAACCGTATTGTGAATCGGAGTAATCTGACGCTTTTTTTAACAATTAAGGCTATGACGATGACCGATTTTTCAATTTTTTAATATTAAATAAGTCCTTTTTTAATGTACAAACGCGAATCATTGCTAAAATCAAAAACAACTTGTAAAATGGTTTGAATTAAAATTCTAATATTGATGAAAGCTAACATATATTATTGTTTTGCACATAAATTTTTGCTAAGTAATATTTTTATTGGCATTTCCGTAATTAATGTCATTTTTTCACGAAAATATATTCTTTATTATGTTATATTTTTATTTAAATTATTTTTATAACTAACTGAAAGAATTNACAATATGGTTTTCTGTCGCTGCTTTTTATATTATAAATGAATAACAATAATAATAAAATCTGTTCGTTTGAAGCTTCTGTAGATATCTTGTAATATATATAAATGTAAGATGTTCACCCTATATGTCATCGTAATTTTTCATATTTTTAATTTGTCAAAGGATCGAACAATAAACTTTATAAGCATGTTTACAGAGGGTTATCTTTTCTCTATGGTCATCTTTATTTCTTCTTTAGGACGAAGTATGACGTCTCCGGAAACCAGAACTTTTTCACGATGTTCTAAAGAATGCACTTTAAAATTACGTAAGACGTGGGCACAAACTGTCTTCATTACCATCATGGCGAAACGTTGGCCTGTATAACGGACAATATAATATTTATTCTCTTTGTAAACGCATTTGTGTTATTAGATAATACATCTCACCTATGCAATTCCTGGGACCAGCCGAGAATGGCAAGTAAGCGAAAGGATGACGATTCTCGCAGTTTTCTGGCAAGAATCTATCTGGATCGAATACTTCTGGATTTTCATAAACTTCCGAATTGTGATGAATTCCGTAAATGTAAACACACAACGAGGAATTTCGTGGAATCGTACATTTTCCTAAAAATTACATTTCAATTGTATATAATTTGTATTTAAAATTACTCAAACTATAATCTGTAATACACAAATTATAGAAGTACATTTTAAGAGAAAAAAAGTCATCTTAAATTGTTGCACCGAATTTATATCACAGGGATATAACTTAGAATTAAATACAAATATAACTTATAATTAGAAATACTTGGAATTAGTAAAATTCTTACCAATTTTTATTTCCACGGAATTCCTTCGCAAAATGTAAGGCACTGAAGGAAATAATCGCAAGGCTTCCTGAAGATTAAAAATAATTTATTTATACCTGATTAATATCTCTAATTTAATACATTCGTTAATTTAATAATTATAAACCTTAATAACTCGTTCTAAATATTTCATTTCTTTTAAGTCGTCCATTTTAATAGTTCTATTCACGTCATCGGGAAAAATATGGCAAAGTTCCTGATAAACTCTTTCTTGAGTTTCGTGATGTAAACCGAGGAGATACAAAGTCCAGCTTATACCCATTCCGGTCGTGTCGTGGCCCTATTTTTAAAGTATTTTAATTAACACTACTCTGAAAATAAATAAAAAGATTTAGATAGAAATTTAGACAATTTATTTTACTTCAAACATGAACGTGTCGACTTCTTCTCTGATATCTTCTTCCGTCAGGTCGCCACTGACGATGTGATGATATACCAACAAATCTAGAAAGGCCCTACGTTTTTTGATCCCCAAAACTTCTTTGTCTTTTTCAAAATCATCGATAACATCGTCCTCTTCCAACTGTTTTAACAATTTTCCTTTCTTCTTTCTTATCACCTAAAATGTTCTTGTTTCTTTAAATATCCTCCAACTACTTCTTGATTGTGCATAAAATTGGTTTCGTTGCATTATTCTTACCTTTCTGGCAAAATCGTGAACGAGTTCGATATCTCTTCTCATCTTCTTACCCAGCGGACTGAAGTACAGAATTGGTGGAAACCAATACCAGGGTTTTGCAAACCATTCAATGAATGTGCTAGTTATTCTAAAGCAATTTTAAAATTTAAGTACTGATTTTAAGAGTAGTTTAAATTCTATTTAATTCGCTTAAAATTACTATGAAGAATATAAGTATTTTTAATTGCTTAGTTACGGACGTTTACCCTTTAACAGCTTTGACATAGTTATTATCTGACTTGACTTGAGCTTTTAATTGGATACCCATGGCCGAGTCTAAGAAAATTTTAATTAAAATGTTTATGTACGATACGGTGAAAATACTGTAAGTACAAATAAAATAATCACCCGCAACTATGTCGAGTGTACAAAGCGTGACTAATTCGGACATTTCTACCACTTCGCCTTCCTTTGTTTCGATTAATTTCTGTACTAATATGTTAGCTTGTTCGTAAAATATATCTTGAAAATCTTCGAGAATTCGAAAGTGAAAAGCCGGTGTTAAAAGTTTTCTTCTACTCCTCCACTTTTCATCGGAACTGCGAAACGTGGTTCATAAAGACATGCATCGATTACTACATTTACAGTAGCTACTTATGTAAAAATTTATAAATCGGTATTCTTGAGATATATGTAATTGTATAGACGTTTACTTACCTGGTAAGAAGTCCTGTACCCAACCACGAGTGAAAGATGTTGTATACCCAATCTTTATTAATTACGCTGTAGCTTTTTAATACCTCCTGTTAAAGTATTATCCTTATTTACAATATTTCAACAAGAATTCATCGTTAGTCAAAAAGCTTACCTGAGCAACTTCGGGATGAAACAGTACAACGTACGTATGTCCCGCCCATGATCCTTTAAACATTTTCTTCTTTTCAAACAAGTGACACACTGCACTTAGATATTGAATAAGTACTGCAATCAACAACATTTAAAAACAAAAATATGCTTTTACTTCTATTAAGTAAACGATTTTTTACAATGTATTTTGTTATAATTTAATTTGTAAATCATACGAGTACTTACAAACGCCTACATTTATATTCTGTCCATTTTTCCAAACAGAAATAATATTTTTTAAAAGAGGAGTAGATGCAAACTTTTGTATTTCACAATCATTCTTCTTCTTCGAATTTTTCATCCATAATATAAAAATAATTACAGCTACAAAGAATATAAAACATATTCTAAACTCAAATATAATCCACAGAAATAAAAAAATCATTTCAAACTTTCACTGTCTTTCCAGCATCAAAAGCAACTGATAATGTCAAATCTATTTGCAATTGTATTCTGCAGTTTGTATTTATATTAACATCGAAAATATTTACGTTTTATATCAGATTTGGTTTCTCCTGTTTACGTCATTTATCTTATGGTAACTATCAAGATTACTTTATGAGGTTATCCATAGTAACGGATTAAACCAAGTATTAATATTTGTGTTATCGGTTAAACAATTGGCATTTCGTAACGTATAGTATATCAAAGGCGTATTCGGAAAGAGATAGAAAGGGAATATACTCTTTAAATCTTTTCATATATATTTACGAAATCAATTTATAAACAGATGTATTCTCGATTATTTTCTAAGGATATCTCGCTACAACTCTAATATTGATATATACTTTTGTTCTTTATTACGAAGATTTCATTGTAAATATTTTGCTCAGATTTGAATGTTTTATCTTCCATCTGTTATTGATTACTTTTTATCTTATATTTTAATGTATTCATATCACTTTAACTGTTTATTCATTATAAACTTCTTTATAAACTCCTTCAAAAGCGAGTGATAAGTTTTAGAAAACAATTAAGTATTTACAATTGCAACTCTCAATTTCACGATTAGCATTAACTTAAAATTCTAACTGTATATTTAAGTTGTTATTTTTCGCGGAAGTCTTTTTACAATATTGCAAGGTTCATTTTCTGTAATGTTATCTCGATTTAATATAGAACTTATCTATCAAATTTAGAGCATGTATAATAAATATTCGAGTAATATTTTTATAAAAAAGAAAGTTAACTCAGAAGTTTCTCTTTTCCTTACGATAAAAGTTAATCTAATCTAATCTAATATAAATTTATGAATCGCTTCCGCAGTAATATTGTAAAATGCCAGTCACTTTCGAAGTTACTTTCTATTCTCCAGAACACCGAAAGAATGCGTAATTCGTATTGGTTTCTATAGATCTATTAAATTTAGAAAAATTATGAAAGCTTGAATAAATTAATTTAGTTTAATAAAACGAGTAAGCAAAACAAACTATACAGTACTTTCACACTTTAACAAAAGTAGAGATTAGATTAATTTTTTAGTTTCGCTTTTACATCAAAAGGTCATCGACTCCAATGAGTTTACTGCTTGTTTAATGAATGGTGTTACAGTAGATCCCCCTATAAAACCGTTTCCTATAGTTATGATTCCTATAAAGATTGTGGCAGTATCCGTAAACAACGGTAAAAATAACTCCTATAATACGTAAAACGTCATCGGGCAGCCGAACTACTTTCCCGCCGTCCGTAGCGCCACGCTACGGACGTTTAGGCGGATAAATTGAGTTTAGTATCGTCTGTTCATATAATTATATATAAATTAGGTACTGTACATATAATTATATATTAATTATATATAAATTAGGTACTGTATATATAATTATATATTAACTTAATTTATTGTAACTTTATTATAATTAAATATATATTTTTCGCCGTCTAGCGTCACGCTACGGCGAGTTAGGCGACCTATCGTCTGTCCAGTACTGTAATTTTATACATTTCTTGTGAAAGAAACATTTCTTATTTAACGGCCATAAAAATTATTTATATTAAGGATGTCTCCAAAGGTCAACGAAGTTTTCGCAGAAAAATAATATCAGAAATCGCGGCCGCGGTTTGATGCGCTGTTCCGCGACGAAACCAAGCTTTAGCAACGGGCGTAGTCGAACGGTACACACTCGGTAAGCAATCCTACAATTTTTTGTTTATAACGTAGTTTATACGGATTATTTTCAAAAAAATATACGTATTTTGGAAATGTTGAGTCGAATTAGTCTAGAATCGATTAATTTTATGAAAGAAAACCTTTCAAACAGCCGTAGTCCGTAAACTATGATTCCTACAAAATTGATTCATAAAGAACGGAACGTATCTACCGTCTTATAGGGGGATCTACTGTATATAGTTATATAAATATAACTATATACAGTATAGTGTTATATACTGTATATAGTTATATTTATATAACTATATACAGTATATAACACTATATGACTCATAAACAGCAGACCACTTATAAGCTTCTTTCTTAATTCGTAAATCGAATGATTTTAGTACAAGCATTTTATTCCAAACTTTAATTGTTTAGAACCGCAGTAACCCAAGTGACTTCGCTATCATTTGACACTTTTTTAATATCTCTCTAATATATTAGAGAATTCAGAAAGAAGCAAGAGAATAACTTTATTTTATACAGATGCATTTCGGAAATTACAACCCCTTTTCAGTTGGTATTCTTCCATACAAGTAAAACAAGGTACAAACCATTTTCTGATAGCTGATTCGATCATTCTTGCTTTCATTCTTTTGAGGTTATGCGAAGTTGATGTTATGGTGAGAATAAAGCGATGCATTTCTGATAATCGGCGATGATTTTTATTTCCAAAACGTATACATTCACACAAAAAACTCAAAATGGTGTCTATGTTTGCCGACTATACTTTATAACACTTAATTTAGTTATTTGAATTTATATACAGTAGACGGTCGTTAACCCGCACTTACCAGACCAGAGTGGTGCCGGATTAACGAAAATACCGAATTAGCGTAGTTTTAGTATTTTCGCAAAATCCCACAACTCGTACATCGCAGACCTTGCTATATTTTTCGTACCAGTGTACTCTGCCATATGCTCCCGATGCACACTTATTAATCAGTACAAAAATGATGTAGAGTAGAACTACACTGTGTTAACATTTGAAAAACCTGCAAATACGTTAATGAACGCGTTACTGTACAAAATAAAAACGTTGACAATGCTTCTTGTGCATGTAGGCGAGTAAATATTTATTTTCCTGGCAGATAAACCAACCGCATACGTCAACAGTACGACTTACGTGCTCCGAGTACGAGAAACCGTTTTCTTTGTTATCGGTTACTTTTCGGAAGTTGCCCGATTACCGAACATTTCGTATTATCGAGTGTAGATTTAACGAACTTCTAACCGTATAAGCGTATGTTAAATTCAAACCAATTCAAATCGACTGAAGATTAAATTACTGCCGAAATATATCAATTTATTTGTCTTTTCTAAAATAAATGACTATTTAATAAGTGTGAATGTAATTTACACATACAAGAATGAATTTGAATATGAATTTAAAATTTATTTCTTTATATTCAACTCCTCCTGGTATATTGATACATACGATGTTTGCATTATCTCTCTTATCCATAAATTTTATATAAAAATTCGTGGAAGTGCGTTTCTAAATAAAAATATAAATTTAATGTAAAATTTATATACATTTAAGAAAAATAATTAATAAAGAAATATTACCCCCCATGCAGGCTTTGTAATTAAGAAGGAATCCTCTACTTCATAAATCTTTCCAGGCTTCAAAGGGTTTTAATTAATAAATCCGTGTGCATCTCCAATTGAGATCTTTGGATAACGAATAAGCTGATCAAATGCTATAAAGAATTTTACATTTGTAACTTGGTACTCCATTTCAGGAATCTCCTCGCCTTAAACATTGTAAACAAATTAACAATATTAATTCGTATTAATAAGCGTACAAATATAAACTTTGAAATTTTCGTGTTACAAGTACACGTAAGCTACTTACATACTTCAAATTTGACTGAAAACTTTACTACGCAGTCGTAATTAAAGTAACACGCTTTTGCACAATCGTCTTTTCATCCAGTAAGCGAGAACGAATGAATTCGTCTTTTAGGGGCGTCTATAAAAAGCAACGTAAAAATATAAATAATATTTATTAAATATTCTATCGTAGATACGGAAGATTCTTTTAAACTTACAACATTATCTATAGTCGAAGCAGTTAACTGTTTGAAACAACAACACATAACAGAATCAACGGTGTTTCATAATCCATAGCTAATAACTTTTCATTTATAATATTAACAGTCTATAAATATATATACATAAAATCTCTCGCAAGACCTGTTTTTTTCCCTTCTTCACGATGAAATTTAAGTTGTGTAAATTTTTAAAAATCTTATTGCAAATCATGTGAGTATATAATATATATATAAATTATATGCTGTATAAAACTTCCTAAAATGAGAAAGTAGTTTTTACTCCAAAGACCTGACTTGTAATATTTAATTGTTTACTATTATGTAAACGTAAATATTATTTATTTATTTTAAAATTTTTTATTAATCTGCCGGCATCAAAAAATTTTGTTACGGAACAATCTGCCTGAGAAGAATACTTTGCTTTCCGCAAAGGAAATTTGTACTTAATAAAAGAATTTTTCGGAAGCAAACCAAAAGCCACGATTCTTACATAGCGAATTCTACTGAAACAGCTATGGCATCGTAAATTGTTAATTATCTCTTTCACCTCTGTTAAAAGCAAGATAGGAAAGAATACGAACCACAACGATCTAAACAATCTTATCACTGCACAAAGTATAAATCTGAAAAATAATAGTGTTTAACATGCAATATCAGCGAATGTCATCCGCATTTACCTTTTGATAAATAATGTTGTTGGTGAAGAAAGTTAGCTTATTTGTTTCGTATTAATTATAACTATATCATTAAGGAAGTGCCTCCAGAGAGGAAATCAAAGAAAACGAACCTATTCGGGGTGTTTGGCAGATGAAAAATTCGGAAATCTTCAAGGGATCAGTCGTTTGTCAGGTGTGAACCCACGACCAGCGTTTAGTATTCGCCGTTTTTATCTATTCGGCCGCAGCTATGCCCTGGCCAGAGACGATCTTAATAAAACGTATAGCTACGCCGACCTTTCATTACGTTCCACCATTTTTTCTTAAAAAATCTGATATTTTACGTAGTAAAAGTGAACACGGATAAACCTCATAAATTGTTTATACACAGGCTTCTGGTGCTTACGTGTCTCTGAAACAAGAGTAAATTTTTATTAAAGACGACAGACTCGCTTACAGGCAATCTACCAATAGGAATGCCTCTTAAGAAGACTTTCTACGGAAAACTGACCTATACTTAGAATTATCAACGAGAAGAACACCCAGCCAGTTTATG